ATATTTCATTGTTTAAAACTTTAATTAAATACTATACATAAGGAAGACATGGGTATTATGGCGCAGTTAAGTATTTTAGCTAATAATACATGATATATCAATCAGAATCGAATTATTTTGGTACCATTCGATTCGTCTCATCAAATCGAATGAGGACAATTAGTGAACTTTATTTAATTATCGACTACGTTAATTATGAAAATGAATTATATGCATTATTAATTGGTGTATCACAATTTAATAGATTTTTGTACAAAGAAAAAGTTGAAATTGAGAAAGCATATTAAATCAGGCATTGAAAATGAATATTCGAATTAAATGATGATAATAATTAGTGAAATTTTTTAATTGTCACATTTTCATAGATTACGTTAATTATAAAAAGTAATTATATAAGTTAAGCTAAAGGTAGAATAGTAGTGTTCTATATTGTTTGAGGATTAATTAAATTTAGAAAATTTAATAAGTGTTCTAATATAAAAAGGGAAAGACAAGTTTTGGAGAATTATTCATTCAGAATTTAAAGTTCTAATGTTTATACGTAGGCGTGTAGCTTGTGTATACATACAGTATACGCATAACATAATGGTGTCAGTTATTTATAAATGTAGTTTTTTTTTATATAAATAGACATTTTATTCTGTATCGAAAACTTTTTTTGAGTGGATAGTAGCGCATCTCTTCTAAGCGCGCAAATTCTCAGAGTGATCAGAGATAAATTGCATTTTTTACAATCATCAGTTTCCCTTTGTGTAATGAAAAGTTTCCCTATATAGAAAGCCCCATTTCCTAATTCAAACCCGATCTGCCCTGAACTAATAACTATAACGATAAGGCAATATTTTTCTTTTAAAGGAAAATGTTCATTGCACAAAAACTCAAACGATTTTGACTAAGCGCTAATCAAAACTACTAAATCGTGCAAAGTTTTTGACATTTAGTTTACGCTATTTTCACTGAGAATAACCATAAATGCTGTAATGGAATTGTAACCTTAATTAACTACGTACTGTGATCATATTAATTTTCATAGTAATACTCTGGTAGCAAATCAAATATGTTTAAATGAACTCTA